CTGCAAACAAATGTGGATAGGGAAATCACTTAAAATAACATAAAATACCTAAAAAAATTTAAAATACAGCTGAGCCATAAAATAGCACTAGATGGAATCTTTGATTTTAGCTTTGGAAGAACATAAATCAACATCTAAAGCATGGTTGTCAGGAGGATCAACAGAATTATCCATTTGAGAGAGGATTGGAGTGCAGGGTATTCTCTTTCATTGTTCAAACTCAGCTCAACTCCTGATGCATGGAGAAAATGCCTTCACAAGCCTCTGCTATTGTGTACATAGTTTATACTAAGTGACCCATAGGTTGAGGAGGCGGTGACCATGGCGGTGTAGGTGGAAGCGGGGGTAGAGGAGGAGGATGAGTTAGCCAACATTGTTTTTTATTTGTTTTGTTTTTTTTAAATTGTGGTAGCTCCCAAAATATTGGGACATATAAAAAAAAGAAACATTTGCGGCCTGCGGTGCATTTCTTGCAGTCCTGATGCATGGAGAAATGCTCAACTCCTGATGCATGGTGAAAAGGCCTTCACAAGCCTCTGCTAATGTGTACATAGTTTATACTAAGTGACCCATAGGTTGAGGAGGCGGTAACCGTGCTCCCCAACGAAAAGGCAACAACGCATTCGTATGTCAATCCATATCAACTTTCGATGCCATTGACTGCGCCTACCATGGTGACCACGGGTAACGGGGAATCCGGGTTTGATTCCGATCAGGGACCCTGACAAACGGCTACCTCATGCAAGGAAGGCAGAATGACCCACTCCCGACGCGGGAAGGTAGTGACGACAAATTACAATACAGGACTCTTTAGAGGCCCTGTAATTGTAATGAGTCCACTTAAAATCCTTTAACTCTGATTAATTGGAGGGAAGTCTGGTGCAGAGCCACTGACCCGTGCGTGCTGCAGCTGAAACTCCACTATCGCCTGCTGCTGCTCAAACAGTCTCTCCAGCATGTGCAAGGTGGAGTTCCACCTTGTGGGCACGTCGCATATGAGGCAGTGAGCGGGAAGGCCAAAGTTACGCTGCAGCGCAGACAGGCGAGCAACAGCAGGATGAGAACGCCGAAAGCGTGCACAGCCGCTACAGTGAATGTCACATCCTGTTCCAAGTTGCGGATCAGTCTTGTGATTGCTTCTGGTATCCAGTACTCTTTTTACTGAAGCTGCATAAGGGTCCTGGTATGTGGCCACACAAACGCTGGTGCTCAACACCAGGGGGCGTGCGGTTACCCTGCACCAGACCCTGCTAATTAATTCCACACTGTGACTCCTAACTTCTACATCAGGCATACTGGGTCCCGGTCGTCCGACCACAACCCAGACAGTGTCTGGGTCCCGGTCAGTGGACTGCGAAAGTGCGAATGGCTCGTTAAATCTGTTATGGTTCTTTTTTTATCGCTTCAACTGTTACTTGGATAACTGTGGGAATTCTAAAGATAATACATGCCGACGAGCGCTAGGGGACGGCCGCTCCGCTTTTGCACCATGCTCCCTCTTATGCTGTGCTGGTGCCTCTGTGCGACTAGTGCCTCTTCCTCCAAACTACACACATCACTCGCATGACCTTGATTCCATGTCGGGTCTAGGACCTCATCATCCTCAACATCATCTTCCACCCACTCCTCAACCCGGCCCTCCTTGCTGGTATGCACACTGCAGAAAGCCACAGCAGTTGGCACCTGTGTTTTTCCAGCATGTAAAGTCTGCAAAGGACATATGGAAATTGTTTTAGAATTGTATCCAGGCAACAGTTTTCCCTATAAGCTGGCTTCTCAGTTTGACTTGTGAGAGTATTGCCCCAGAATTACAATATTGTTTAAGTACCTCTTAGCTATTGATAACTGGTTTAAATATAGCAACTATCAATCTGTTTTCTATCACTTAGATATGTGTAACAAGTGTTGTAGGTGTGAAACAATATTACAAGTGACCGATGTAGTAAATTTGAATCAAAGTTCAATTTGCAAAAAAAATTCTCACCTATCTTATGTGGGTTATTGCATTTTTAAGATGTAGACTTATTGTATCACACTAGCCATGCACAGGTAGATTGTCTGGCACGTTGTTTTGGTGTTTGGTTTTTAACTTTGTAGTTGTTTCTTTACACAATATAGAAATGTATATTAATGCTTCTGTATATGAAGCCATCACAATAACACTTATTTTTCACTTTTAAAAAAAAGAAAATCAGGCTAAACAAAAATTGGTAATTAACAATATGACATCTGAAAAGCACATGAAAGGATGCTGTATGATTTTTAAAAAAAGAACACACTACATGAAGGTCCTGTTCACTAAAGTGTGTAGTCATGAATGTAACCAGTAAAACTTTGTTTTTACAGCCACTGGTTGGCCCATACATATTTTAAAACTTGTTTAATTTTGTTGTAGCATGACTTGTAGATATGAAGTGCACGCCCCAAAATGTACTATTTAGCAGATTAGCAGCAAAACAAGTAGAATGTTTACCACTGCGCTGTAAGCACACTATTAGACGCTTCTGTTTGACTCTCAGATATGAAGTGCACACCCCAAATATACTATTAAGCACCAAAAAATTAATTAAAAAAATTTACTTTTTAAAACTCCAATGTAAGCAGCAGATTAGCAGCAAAACAATTAGAATGTTTACCACTGCGCTTTAAGCACACTATTAGACGCTTCTATTTGACTCTCAGATATGAAGAGGAGGCCCCAAAATGTACTATTTAGCATATTAGCAGCAAAACAATTAGAATGGTTACCACTGCACTGTAAGCAAACTATTAGACGCTTCTATTTGACTCTCAGATATGATGTGCACCGCAGGCCGCAAATGTACTATTTAGCAGATTAGCAGCTAAACAATTAGAATGTTTACAACTGCGCTGTAAGGTCACTATTAGACGCTTCTATTTAACTCTCAGATACGAAGAGCACACCCCAAAATGTACTATTTAGCAGATTAGCAGCTAAACAATTCGAATGTTTACAACTGCGCTGTAAGCACACTATTAGACACTTCTATTTGACTCTCAGATATGAAGAGCAGGCCCCAAAATGTAATATTTAGCAGATTAGCAGCAAAACAATTAGAATGTTTACCACTGCACTGTAAGCACACTATTAGACGCTTCTATTTGACTCTCAGATATGAAGTGTACCCCACTAATGTACTATTTAGCACCCAAAAAAATTTACTTTTTAAAACTCTGATGTAACCACGGTATTTGAAGCGTCTATTTGACTCTCAGATATGAAGTACACCCCACTAATGTACTAGTTTGCAGAATTCTTTCCTAATCTGTCCCTCACAGCTGCAGCATCCTCTCCCAAACTAATAAGAGCTCATGTGCGTGCAGCGCTACGCGACTCCAGCTTATATATAGAGACTGGGTCACATGCTGCACTGGCCAATCACAGCCATGCCATTAGTAAGCATGGCTGTGATGGCTTCTAAGGGCACACGAGTCAAACGCTTGTTGATTGGCTGCCCTGCAGCCTTTGAAACTGCGCCATTAAATTGCCGAATACCGAACTCCAACCGGAACATACAGTGATATGTCCGTGTTCGGGTCCGGAGTCCAAAAAATGTAATGTTCGGTACGATCCCGTACTTTACAGTCCGGGTTCGCTCAACTCTAGAGACAAGCCCCCTTGGTTCCCACGATTGTGAAACATTAAATGATACGAAGGCGAAGTGAAGCCTTAAGTAGAAACTTAATCGTAGTGAGTAAGATTTAACAATACCTGATGCTGAAATGCAGGGGACCAGGTAGTCTGTTGGTGATTGATGCCGTATAACTTGGCGAGACTGCGGTAATGACACAGGTCTGAGTGAAGAAATGTAGAAACAGTAGACAAGAAATGTACCATTAAATAATTAGTAGCAAGGTGGTGTATGTTTTTATGATTGATGTTTAAATCGTAGTGAGGAATCTCAGACCTAGCCCGTTTGAAGTTGAGAACCCACTTTGGGAGGTTGGGAGGCTGAATGAGGCAGTGGAGGCTGAATGAGGCCTCGAGGGTAGAGTTGAGCGGACACCTGAATGTTCGGGTCCGGTGGGTTCGGACGAACTTTGACAAAAAGTCCGGATTCGGGCTCAAACTTGACCCCGAACCCGAACCCCATTGAAGTCAATGGGGACCCAAACTTTTGGCCACAAAAATGCCTCTAAAAAAACTCCTGGAAAGAGCTAGAGAGCTGCAAAATCAAGTAACTGTGGGGTTGGCGTGCAGGGTATTCTCTTTCATTGTTCAAACTGAGCTCAACTCCTGATGCATGGAGATAAGTCCTTGACAAGCCTCTGCTAGTGTGTAAATAGTTTATACTAAGTGACCCATAGGTTGAGGAGGTGGTGACCGTGGCGGTGTAGGTGGAAGTAGCGATGGAGGAAGAGAATGAGGTAGTCAACACTGTTTTTTTATTTATTTATTTATTTATTTTATTGTGGTAGCCCGCAAAATATTGGGACATAGAAAAAAAGAGAAATTTGCAGCCTGTAGTGCCTTTCTTGCAGTCCTGATGCATGGAGAAATGCTCAACTGCTGATGCATGGAGAAAAGGCCTTCACAAGCCTCTGCTAATGTATATCTAGTTTATACTAGGATGAGGTAGCCAACTGTGTTTTGTTTTTTTGTATATATATATATATTTATATATATATATATATATGTAGCAGAGAGATGATATTCCACAGGTTAACTCCACTTAAGATCCCAGTGAGGCTCAGGAACAAGTATTATAAATCCATAAGGCAATAATTCCAGCAGGCAAAACAATCCAACAATATCCCAACATCAATCCCAATGACTGGACGACACACAGCATCAGGGGCAGAACTGAACTTTTAATCACTCAACCTTCTTTTGAAGCATTCTCCCATGCAAAGGAGGGATTTACAGTAATTACACAATACATCAATCATACACGAGTTGCCACCCACACATCCCCTCCCCTTAGTGTGACACATAATCCCATTATGTAGGACACAGTTCCCCTTGTTTTCTGGATGTACCCCTAAACCTAGGAGTACCTCTTTAAATATTACATCCCCTGGTAGCCCTGATCTGGGTGAGACACATATCCAAAAATCACCCAGATCGGACCAGGGGTTCGGGAAATTCCTGGAGGTACTAAAAAGACTGCCCGCGCTGGGGATAACAGCCAAAAAAGGTTCCATGTATTTTGACCCTGCGGTCGGTCACAGAAAAGGGAATGAAACACACGAATGGCTTGGGTTATGAGAGCCGGGGAGGATTCGGGTAAATCCCCTTGTTCATAGGGTTCTTTCTACCGACCGGGAAGCCGTTCGGTGGTTTTTACACGAATTGGCGGCAGTGTGGAGGTCTCAGCGGTGTTTGCCTAACCGAGTGTCCAATTTGGATTCCAGACACTCGCTCCGCAAAACACCGCTGTTCGGGTGTTCAAAATGGCCGCCACCACGTGTTCGTCTCCTGAATGGCATTGAAAAGCTTTCACTTTAGTGCAGTTGAAGCATCGTGGGCTTCAATAGCCCACGATGCTGCAACTGCACTAAAGTGAAAGCTTTTCACTTTAGTGCAG